CCAGGGAGGCGCTGGCGCCGGCCCCCGCCGCCGCGGCCAGCTGCTGGGCTCCCCGCGCGTAGCCATCGAAGCCACCCTGGAGCTGGTGGCTGTTGCTGATGAGCGCCTCGACCGCGTCCTCCGGGCTGAAGCCCAGCGCCTCGGGGTTGAGCTGCTGCGGGTAGCCGGTCATCCAGTAGTAGTCTTCCAGGTGCGCCTTCTGTTCGCTGCCCGAGCCCGGGCTGGGCGCCGAGAAGCTGGGGGACGGGGGCACCGAGCTGCAGGGCGTGCTCATGGGGGTGGAGGACAGCGAGCCCCCGGCGATGAGACGGCCACACTGGCTGATGATGCGGTCGGTCTCCACCGGTTCCTTTTTCACTTCAAACTTCATCAGATCGAAGTCATTAACATATTCCATGGCCAGGGGACTGGTGGGCAGGTCGGAATTGTTCATTGCCAGTTCTGAAGCCATCCTCCTGCCTCCGCCGCCGCCGCCGCCGCTCCGCCAGATGGGCTGCAGGAGAGGGGCCAGCGGGCTGTGCTGGGTGGCCAGCGGGTGAGCCAGCTTGCCGGGCTAGGGCGCTTCTAGCTCGCGCGGCGGTGGCTGTGGCCCGAAAGCTCGAGCGTGCACACACCCCCCGCCCTGCCCGCAGCCCCCCGCGCCCGCCCTCCCTCCCCCTGCTCACGCCAATGTGCTCTCTCTCTTTCTCTTGCTCTCTCTCTCTCCCGCTCGCCCCGGGCCCCCTCCTCGCCTGCTCGCCTCCCTGAGCTCGGATCCCGGGCGCTTCAGGCTCGGGAAGGTCCTCCGCAGCTGGCGGTTGTGGTGGTGGCGATGACGGCGGCGGTGAGGATGCCGGAGGAGCCCGGCCCGGTGCGCGGCGTTCCCGGCTCGCCGCTCCGCTGCGCGCTTTGCATAAGGAGGGCTCGCCTCAGCCGGCCGGGCTGCAGGCGGGGCGCGCGCAGTGGCTGCTCCCGGACTGGGTGGCGCGGCGGGTGACTGTCCCGGAGGCGCGGGTGTCGGCACCGGGATAGTTAACACTTCACGCTTCTCTCCTCTTCTGCCTGGCTCTTATGATTACTATTATTATTTTCTCTTTTCTCTCTCCGGATCCCTCGCGTGCGCGCGCGCGCTCTCTCTCTCTCACCCTCTCCCTCCGTGCAAAGTGCAAGACCGAGGTGCAGGCCGGCTGGAGGCAAGGGAGTGGGGGGAGTTTAGTTCTTTCTTGCCTTTCTTTTTTTTTTTTCTTTTTGGTTTTAGCTTTTTTTAAAAAAAAAGCAAAATTGCAAAGTCCTGGGCCAAGGCGAGGCCGAGAGCAAAAGGGTGTGGGGGAGAGGCCGAGCGGACTAGCAGCTCAAGCTACAGCTCCAAGATGAAAAAAGATTTTAAAGCCTCTGATCCAGCGAGAAGAGTTTAAAGCAATTGCTGAGTTTTATAGCACCCGTGACGTCAGACTCAAATGGGAAATTGACTGGCACTCTCCTCCAATGGGAGGCGGCAAAAGCGGCCGCGATTAGCATAATAGTATAGAAACAAGGAAACTTTTCGGAGCTGTCAATCACAGCCCAATCAGCTGACTGTCAGCTGGGACAGGCTGGCTTAACCCTTGCGGCGCCGCTGCTCCGGCGCAATCAGGGAGTAACATCCCCCACCCCAGCCCCGCGCGAAGTTTAGTGCACCAGGGGACAGAGTTTGCTAAAAGGGCGACTGGAATCCGGGAGAACCCGGGAGAACGGTTTGCTTTTCTTCGGAGCTCGAGAGAGGCCTGCCCTGCTGAGCCGCAACTCTGGCGCTGCAGAGATCCGCCTGAACGCTCCTGTCCCTTGCCGGTCCCGCACCCTGACAAGGTGCTTTTATTCGTCTTGCAGTTTTTGCTTTTTGATTCGCCTTCAGCATCCTCCGTGGCTGTTGGGGGGGCGAGGAGGGGGAGGGGTTACGTTCCTTTACAGAATCTGATGTTCCCGGGCCCAACTTGGCTCAACTCTTTGTCCCTCTCCTAGGGAGGTGATCAGATGGGGGCGCCAAGGGTGCGGGCACCCAGAAAGCGCGCGGTGCACGGTGCACGGTGCGCCTGCACTGGCTGTTTGGATTTCGCAGGGAGAAGAAAGCCTGTATGACTCTCTTGAAAAAACGAGGGGGCCTAAAGTGTTTGGGGACGTTCTATATAATGACTAGCCCGCTGGCATCTTCGGCCCTTGGAGAAAGTGATTGGGCGGCTTTGCCAGCAAGTTGATTCCCGGACGCTGGGTCAGTCGGGGCTCAGCTCTGAGGCTCTTGACTCAGGCTGGGAGTTTGGCTTCTGAGAATCATATTCATCCTCCTTCTGTCTTCTCGCCTCCTCCCCCCCGCCCCAAGTCTTTTCTCTGTCCGCTTTGCTATCCATCCACCATCCTTTCCATTTGTGAAACTTGAACCGTACTTGAGAACCCGCCTCCCCCTCACCAATGCCATCTTCACCATTATGAAATCCGAACCCTGTTTATCAGGGTCCTGGGCGCCCTTTGCCCTCTCATCTGGTTTAATTATGTGGTATTTGGGATTTGGTGGTCAAGTGGGGGAAACAATACCTCAGAGCCTTCCCTCACTTTCCTCCAAGGGTTAAATTTTAAACTGCTTTCTTCTCTGAACAAGTCCGGAAACCCAGAGTGGGGGTGGGGTGGGGTAGGGTTGCCCCCTCCCGTTACAAATATTAATAACCGGTTCAGTTTTCTAGACTGATTTATTCCAAAGTTATGCAAAAATTTGGGGGGAGGCAGGGAGAGAAACAAAAAGAAAAGAAACTAACAACTTTTTTCTAAGATTTTAAAGCGATAGGCAAGTCGAAAGAGCGGAGATTGACTGGGGAAAGAAAGGTTGTCTGAAGCCGCCCAATATTTGGAAGACGGGTTCACCTGCTTGGAAATTGGGACTATAGATTTCTTCGTATAAGGAAATGCATTTGGTGTTAATCGTATTTATTTTAACTCTATGCGGGATGTCTATAGGGGTGTACTTAAAAAAAAAAAATCCGAAAAGCCTGCAAAAGAATCCAGAGTAAAAACTATTGTTGGATCGAGTTGGTTTTTCACCTCAACAGCGCCACCTTTCGGCAAAGGTTAGTTGAAAATTAATCTGTTTTTGAGAAAAGTGCGAAGTCGCTGATTTTTCAGGCAAGGGAGGCAAAAAGCTAGTAAGACCACAGTGGGAGAACCCAACGTTGTAGGAAAAGGCCTACAGAAACTTCGAGTAGGTGCTGAAATCTTTTTTTTCCCCTCTAATGGCCCCCTTTGTTGCTTCGGAAGAGGTCCATAGACACAGTCCTTGGAGGATGTCATTTGAGCGGAGAGACCTGGGCCTGTTAATGCCATGTAACAGGGCCCAGGCTCTTTCAAATCACCAGGAAGGAGTTTTAACCGGTTCTGCGGCAATAACAATAGAATTAAAGTTTCTTGTAATTCAATGGTATGAAACACATCTCTCATAAGCAAAGCTATTGCAGTGGTATAAAATCGTTTATTTGAGAAGTAATTCTCAGGAAAGCCTGACTTCTGACACTTAAGTCATGTATTAAGCCATCTTCGTGAACATTGTACCTAAGTGTGGTCTCAATCTCCCCCCACCCCATAGCATTTTTTTTTCTGTTTATAAAATGGTGTTGGGGGTCACTCACAGTCTTGGGTCACCATATTAGACCATTGTTAATTTCTCATTGGCAAACTTTGGCACCCCTACTGGTCGACTCCCAGGGAAATATGTAGAGACATCTTCATTCTAAAGGGCCTGCTCTGTTGGTATTTTCTAGACACGCTGTTCTTTTACACTGCTTCTGCCGTGATTGTTTATAAGGGTGGTTTCGGTTTAGAGGAGTGCTTTGTTGGGGTGGTGTGAACTGTGTTTAGTTCCACTTTGGGGGAGAAAGAGTGGAGACTATGTCAATATTTATGTGACCAGAACAAAACGTCTGGCTTTGCTTCCCTCCTCCCAAACAATATTCCACCCAGTAATGAAGCTAAGGATTGCAGTGGACACTCGAAAGAAAAGCCAGCGTTTAAAATCACAGCAACACTGTGCTGGTTAGACGTGGGTTTTCAGGTCGTTCTGAAAATCATTAGCCATACATGTCTGATGTTTACGTTTCTATGTAAAATACAAATATGTGTCCTTAGAAAAAGAATTCATTTTTTATGAAAACTTTTAGGATTTGGGGCATCAAATTTTTTGTTAAAAATTTTGTTAAAATTCTTGTTAAAAGCTGTACAGTATAATCCCTGCCCCCCCCTCTCTCTCTTTTCTCTCTCTTTCTCTCTCTCTCTATCTCTCTCTCCTCTCTATCTCTCTCTCTCTCTCTCTCTCAAAAAAAAAGGGCATGTTTTGGGCCAGTGGCATGGAAACTGCTATACTTATAAATAAACATCATTTTATGAACAAAAATTGCTGATGTTGGACACCATGCCCTATAGCTCCATGGCCACACACCCAATTGTCACAATTATATACCATTTCTAGACATTCAGGGACCACATCTGGCCAGCTAACTGTATTATTATCTATACTTTTTTATGGTTTATTTTTCATTCTTGCAATTGTCAGTCATAGCATTTTTCTTCCTCTTCTTTTTCAGAGCCTTTTTTTTACAAGTTCCCATTTTTGTTTGAAAACAAGAGAGAGAGAGAGAGAGAGAGAGAGAGAGAGAGAGAGAGAGGAGGACAAAATGTTGTTTAAAGACATGTAACTGGAGAACATTAGCACTTAGGTGCCGTTTTTTGTCCCTCTGCGTTGTTTAGCAATGTACAGGAGGAGTCTAAACATTTACAGTGTGCTGTTAGCAGCGTTTCTTTGATAACAATTGCAAGCTCTCATTTTAATTTAGTCCCATTCAGGTTCCTGATTCCTCACAATTATAGCAGGCCACAGTGCTGGCGACTTCTTTGCTAGCACTGTTTGTTTTTCTTCTAGCCCAGCCAATCTAATCCAAATACAATATGAACCCCCTCACTCCCGTATATACTTTAGTAATCTCCGCCAGCTATATGCAGGGATTTAGAAACTGCACATTTGTCGTGATAGACCAGTTCAAACTGGTAGCATTAAAGTTTCTGAAAGTCATGAGTATTTATATAATGGATCGGGTGGGAAGGAGGGCATCGGACTGGTCATTCGAGGAGACCTGAAAACATCAGAAAGAGCAGCCATAATGCTGAGTCAATCAATCCACATACAGCTTCATGAGAAGAGGGATGGAGATGTAGACGGCCTGTCATGTCTAAATTGCAAATAGTGCAGGCTAAAAGGACCATACTTTTCCTCATCACACGTTACTACCCCTCAAACATGTCTTGTTTCAATCGGACATACAGAATCTAAAGTGAACAGGGTGTAAGTAGCTCGAAGCTTCAGAAGGCTTTGTTCCAGTGCGAGCTGGTTTTACGGTGCCGAACTAACCAGTGTCCACTAAATCTCGGTAGGAAACCGACTCCATTGATCTGCAAGAGTTCTGGAGAGGACTGGAGTGATAAGGCTTACTCGGTTCCTAGGTCTAGTGTTAGATAAATCCTTTTAGCCGTCTTCACTTAGCAGGGTAAGTAAATCACAGACTGCTGTTAGCAGATTCATGGGAGAAAATTAATAGAATCAGACGAGATAATCTGATAAGGGTAAAATTGCTGAGGAAACAGTCTTGGCTTGCATCGGAGGGCGAGAAACAACAGTCTGATTACAAAGAGTTGTTATGAATAGGTGAGTTATGGGCTAAATAATCATCAGAGCAATTCAGTCTTTATTAATTTTTCTCTCTTTAAGCAATTCACCGTTGTAAGTTAGAGCCATTCTCTTTGAAGACACATCTTTTATAATTTTTATTAGAGGTAATTTATTATTTGCGTTACCTGTATTTACTTCGTAATTGAACATTTTGCATTCAAATTTATGTAATGCATTATGCCTGAGAATATATTTCTGCCTGATTACCATAAATAGTCACTTCATGAATTACTAACAAAGTTTATCTTAAAATATAGGTTTCTTTTTATTAAGCGGAACACAAACATATGTACAATAAATTCAGACCTCTTTTTTTTTTTTCTAGTGCCGTTGGCGAAAGCAAAGAGTAGACTAATGAGACTCCCAGGCTTCCTTCCAAGGCTAGCACTCAGATGGGGGATTGTGCAGAGCAGGGCAGGAGAATGGCAGAAGGTTCTCGGCTCTTCAGACAATGCTGAGGTTATTTATTGGAGGACGCTCACCGAAAGCATGGGTTCTCAGCAAACAGCGAATATCGTCACGTCTCCTGCCTGGGAGGGTGAGGACCGGGAAAGCAAATCAGTAGTAATGACAGGGCTCGGGGACTCAGCTGACTTTCTTTCCTCTGTCATTTGTTTTTGGCTCTTCAGACTTCTTCCTTGGAATATCTGCACACGGCCTTCCGTGGTTTTTCTGAGCTGTGGAAAACTCTGCTGTTCCCCGGGGCCGGTGCAGCGGGGTTTGCTCATCTCTCTCCTTTTCTGCACCCCGCGGACCCCTGGCCTGGCAGATGGAGACTTTAATTTAATAAATTGCTTTGGGGACACACGAGTACTGGAATGAAAGGGTTTCTTTGGGTTTCAGACGGTGGGCAGAGATGTAAAACGCTGGCGCTCGTCTCCCCGCTCTTGACATTCCAAATTAACAGATTTCCACACTTGACTCTCTCTTGCCCTTTCTTTTGTCAAGGCACAGCCATTTCCTTAGATTTCCCCCCTCCCCGGTTTTTTTTTTTTTTCAATTAGAGGCTGCTTGTTCTCCGTCCTTGCATTTCTAACCCTTTTGATCCAATTCTCGCTTATATGGGGAAGGGAGGAATTTAGCTCCAAAGCCTCTTCAGTCCTTCAAAGATTTTTTATTGTCTTCAACTTAAACTGGGTTTTTAAAAGGAGCGGGGGGGGGGGGGCAAGGGCTGTATAGAATGCATACACGATAAGAAGAATCTTTAGGCAGCCCGTGCCTTTCTTGGTTAGTTATACAGAGCACCTTGGCGACGGGGTCAGTCGCTGTTCACCTGGTCATAGGGTACTGCTAAGCCCTTGTTCCAGGGGCATCTAAAAGCCGTTCAACCTAGGAGCAAAGTGCAGTTCTAGCATCCGCCAACTGCTCTTAGACTCACTAACTTTGTTTCCGATCGAGTTTGGCTGGGGCCCGAGGCAAGGGGGTCCTTTCCAGTTCTGTTTTGTATTGCTGTTGTTCCTGGGTGTGTCATGGGTGCCCTGGAGCTTTCTCTTACGCTGTTCCGTGAAGGCACCCAGAGGGTTCCTCGTCCCCACTCAGATAATAACTAAAGTTAGATTGATAGGTCCAACCAGGCTTTATTTGTCACGTCTCTGCCTCTGCTGCACTTTCTCTGTTGACTAAGTGGGTAAGGAGAAAGAGGACAGTGCACAAAAGAACCTCGGGCTGTGGATCTTGACTTGGGCGTCAGCCTCTGTCATATTAGCGTATTGGAGTCTGGGCTTTACAGAATGGAGTCACAGCGTGGACGCGGGTCCTTCTTGGTGTTCTCTTCAGAATGCATCTGCGCGGATCCCAAAGTGGACTCTGGGTGCTACTCTGTTTGAAAGTGGAATTTACCTGAGGGAATCCCACTGGAGGCCAAGGTGTTTAACCCTTTCCCAATGGGTAGAGCAGATGTGCCGCCAGAGGCTGCTGTGGCCCCCAGAAACAACCATGCGAGCTTTTTTCCAAACCCAGAAGAAAATAAAGGAATACTAATTTAGCATGTGTCATAACTGCTACCATAGTGGTGTAGGTAGAAAACATATTATTGTTTATTATTATTATTATTATTATTATTATTATCTTTTTTTTTAATGGAGAAAGATCCATGGAACCCAAAGTTCCCAGGACCTACAGGAGTCCACATGCAGTTCCAACATGTCTTTGGTTGCCTCTGAGCATGCTCATGTCTGTCAACTTTGTCTTCTATCCTGCCTATCCATTCTTTCAAGAGTTTCTGAGGTCGTGAAAACTCTGACTGTTGGGCCAGCGAGATGGCCTAGGGGGCAAAAGCACTTACTATGCCAGCCTGATGTCTTAAATTCAATCCACAGAACTCACTGTGGAAAGAAAGGATCGACTCTCGAAGAGCGTCTTCTGGCCTCCATGGGTAAGCTGGGCACGTGCATCCCCCAATGCACCACACCATGTCACACACTCACACCCCCTATGCGCGCACACACACACACACACACACACACACACACACACTATTAAATAAAAAATTTAAAATTGCTTTGTGTTTTCTCTTTTAACATGGGGTCAATTCCCTTTCTATATATTTGTTTTGACTGTATACTCATGTACATGAGTATATGCATATGCTCATGTGTATTGATAAAGTTCTCATGTACTGTAGGGTCTTGGGGAAATCAACACCTGTCCCCTGCTTTTTGCTTCTTCCAAACAGACTGCTAGCATTTGTACCTCTGCTTTTCTTTTAAGGACCACGCTTCCTGGTTGCCCTCTCCCAGGTAGGACCACGTGATCGCGGCTGCCCTCTGAGGGCTCAAGTCCCAGAGTTAAGCTGGGTGATGGGTCTTCCCATCACCCAGCAAGTGTGACACTCGGCCTCCCTGGTCACAGCATGCCGGCTCTTACTACACACCAGCCTTTCTCAAGCTTCTCCGTCTGACATGCAACTCCAGGGACTGGTATCACATGTGTGGTGATTGACCCAGAAGCCCTGGGCCACTTCTCACATCTCCTGTGTGTCCTATGAGTCCCTTCATGTGCTCATAGTTTTGACCCTACACGCAGAAATGAACAGCGGTTCCGGAACGCCCTCTCTTCTTCACATCAGCCTTTTTCTTGCTTCCCCTCGTCTCTTTGGATAAGAATGTGTTGTTGACTAGTTTTAATTTGCTTCCCAGCTTTGAGTCAGCTGCAAATGAGATTCATGTTTGCTTGTTTTTTTAATGACTTAGCCTGTCTGAACCAGATCAGTATACCCCGCGTGTCGGAGACTGTGCCTAAGAAATGTCTGGTACAGCCTGGGGACACTGGAGAGCTGTACAAATGGTTGTTTCTCTAAGGTTCTTCTAACTCTGTTGAAATGCCAACACTGAAGGGCCAAAGTCCTGGGCTTCCCAGGGGAGACTGTCCCTCCTTAATCCCTTAGTAACTGCAAAAGTGATCCATTGGGTCATTCAAATTCCTTAGTGGGTATTTTAAACTGACACAGCTTGTTTGATAATTATGGTGTGTGTGTGTGTGTGTGTGTGTGTGTGTGTACACATGTATCTGTTCAGATGTCTGTGAGTGAGTGTACAAATGTTTGTATGGAGGCTATAAGATACCATTAACTGTTATTCCTCGGGTGTCATGAGCTTTGTTTCTTTGATGTTTGAGACAGGGTATTTTTTTTAATTAAAATTTTTTTTAAAAATTTGGAAAATTTTATATATGAATACTGTATTTATATTATTTTCTACTTTCCTAATCTCTTCCAACTCTTCCTATATCCTCTCTTCTTAAGTGAATGTCCTCTTATTTTTTAATTATTTCTGTTTTACACACACACACACACACGCACGCACACATACACAAATAACACCTGCTGAGATAATTTACTATTGTTTGCATATACCTGTATTTAGGACTCACTGCATGGGACTGGATAACTGAGCAGGGGCTCAAACCCTGGAGAAGACTGACTCTCCCTCTCTCTGCCCCATTAATTGTCCATAGGATTTATCACTGGCTTGGCCCTTGCCAGGCAGGCTAGACTGGCAGGCCAGTGAGCCCCAGAAATGTATCTGTCTCCCAACAAGCATGTGCTATTGTGCATGGATTCTTTAAAAATGTGGGGGAAATCACACTCAGGTCCTCAGACTTGCATGGCAGGCACTTTACCAAGCGGGCTATCATCCCAGCCCTATTGTGATGACTTTATTCAATTGCTCCATCTGGGTGTCAGACATGTATCTTGCTGATAGATTCTAATATGACTTCTGCTTTGGATGACATAGGTGAAACTTTCTACTGGAGCATAGATTGTGATGCGGTACCCTCCACATTTCACGGCAGCCTGAGTCTTCCTAGTCAAAATCCACAGCATTTGCCTGAGATTGGGATCCCCAAGACTAAGAGCAAACAGCTAAACCCTGGAAGAGCTCTGGGCGGGTGACACAGCTCACTGGAGATCCGTTTCTCCTCTCTGGTTTGGCTTTTGCTTAGATCACCAGCTTTCCTGCTTTTTCCTGATGCCAGTTTTGAGGGCTGGAGGCTCCAAGGCATTTTCTGGAACAGAAGAGCTCCGGGTGTCACGTGCCTGCCTTTGAATGCAGCTTGTCTCTCTGCTGGTCTCTTAAAGGAACCTAAATGTGCAGTTTTTGCAAAACCTCCCCTCTGAGGCTCACACTTCCCCTCCTTTTCAGAAAGAACAGCAAACGGTCTACAGGTTACTTATGACCTATGTCTGACTTGTGCCCAAGAGAGTTTGGCACACGTTGGTCAGCAGACCTGGCCCTGGATCCTTGGGGCCCAGGAGAATGGAGGGGACTCTTCAGAAACCTGTGCCTTTGATCTCAAGGAGTAGTGAAGCAGGGACAAGATACGATGGGTGGCTCTGATCGTGAGGCAGTGATCTAGTAAGCTATGGTGCAGAAGGAGTTGTGGTGAGTAGGGGACAATGCTCATGTTGTATGCCTTCCTAGTTGCCTTCTTCTAGCTCCTCTTTTGGGGGACAAAAGGACTAAATTGGCTAAGAATTATACTGGGTAATACTGTGGGCATGTCCCCACTCTAGGTCCCCAGAGCTCATTGTGAGACAGGTAACCAAAATGATCATCCATAAACAGGATGAACCACCGCAGAATGTCTATAGGTGACAATGACCGAGTCAGACAGACTCTTTGAAGTCACCATCTAGGTGGGGTTTGAATGGCAGGACCACACCTCATGAATCTCCAAGCTGATAAGCAGCTTATTTATGCAGACATTATTGTGAACATTGGGCAGTACTGGGGCAACCAAGAACCTCAAGGATTCCAATGGATCACCAGCCAGTTACTTCTTAGACCTGGGGGAATGCCTTGATTTAGCACCAGGGAAACCTAAGTGGGAATCCTGCTTTTCCTAGGGCTGAGAAGCCTACCTAAGAATCCCAATAATCCTGGGGCAAGTGTCTTGCCTGAACATCAGTCTCTCCCTCAATCAGAGGTAGACAGGGGCTTTATGAGTATGACATACATAGGTACCAAGTGCTTGGCATTTTGCCTCCTGTGTCGGGTAAGCACAGGAGAGCATACTCTCTCAGTGTGTATCAGGGACTGCATGCATTCAGTTCCCAGTATGGACTTCAGAGTACACTAGAACTTAGAAAAAGCCCACCTCCCCATTTCCCCTTCCTCTACCCTCTCTCTCCTGAACCTCAGGGTCTCCCACACCTAGAATTCTGAGCGCTCTCCCTTTCCTGCCTGCAGTCCTAATTACTGGCCCATCTACATCTTTCCTCGGATCTTAGGGTTTCTGTAAGAAAGAAGCCTTACTTTTTGAATGGTGCCTCTCAAAACAGGCCAGGCACACAGGGAAGACTCTGGACTTGAATCCTAATGGTTTCTTGTTAGCTTCTTACCCCCATGAGCACCTGGAACCCTAGCTATCAGAGCAACTCTTGTCTCTTCTCTTCATGAACCCATTGTAAGTGCTTGGTATACAGTGAGCGCTCAAGATATGCCTATCAAATGAGTGACTTATCAAATGATCACTTTGATCTTGCATAAAAGAATCTAGCCAGAATGTTCCAGGAAAGACAGCTTGGATAACTACAGGGTGGCCAACCACTCTGTCACAAGACAGTTTTTGTGTTTGCCTCCCACCCGTCTAACTGGCCCGTGCCTCTGTCACCAGGGTCCTTCTTCGGTTCCTTGCATAGCCTACATCTTTCCAGGGTAGAATACTGGAAAGTATGATGGAGATGCACAGGTCCAGGAGCCGAGACAGAATACAGTCCGTCTTGCCGGCATGCATGGCTGGGTGCACGGAGGGACATGCCGAGGCATCTGGGTCTAAGTAAGGTGCACGCTGATGGGAGGGCTCTGCTCCAACTTTGCGTCATAGCTGCTTCCCTGGGGCTTTAAGGCACAGACACGGTTTTGTAAGACTTCTTTTGTAATACCAGGCCTGTCCCCATTTCAACATGCCCAGATCCTGCCCATTCCTCCAGGCACGGCTCACGGGCAGTGTTGCACCCAAAGCTCCTAGCATCTGCCATGCTTTTGATAAAGGTGAACACTGTACCACCATCTCGGCTCCTGTAGGTCCCCAGGATGCCAGCTCTGACCCTTTCAAGAGTCACACAGCACAGCTCTCGGAAGTAGCGCAGAATCACAGCCAGGCAGGGCTGTGGTTTTTGGTATGTGATTTTGGAGGTACTGTCCAGGTGACTTTTCTGTCTCTGGGTATCCCTATGTATAAAGCAATGCTATGCAAACATCAGACTGCATAGGATCTAAAGCTCCAGGGACAGAGATGAACTTGGGGCTGACTGGGGATAGGCATCCTGTGTTATCATTGGAACTGGCTTCTCTCCATCTATGTGAGCTCCTGGAAAGACAACCTTCATGTGATCAAGATGGCTAGGGCCACTCTGACCCTAAGCCCTCCAAAACTGGGTTCAGGGAGTGAGGAGAGGCCTCAGTCAGGGTCATCAAAGCCATGGTTTGGGTGCCAACAGGCTGGCTCATTTGTTGGCTCATGTGCACATCTCTGAGCCTGACCCCATGGCAAAGTGATGACATGTCAGACTGGTTCAGACTTGGACTCAGAAAGTGAGAGGGTCAGGAACCTGGGGAACCGTCCGAGCTTTACTCAGGGAGCCAGGGGGAACCGTATCCTAAGTGATCTGATGGAGCCAGCCACCAAATTAAAACATTACTAACAGCCAACAGGTATCTGATACTCATCAGGCCTTGACCTCGGTTTGAACTCATGAGCCAGTCATAGTAGCCCTATATTTTTGTCAGCGCTGCTCCCTGCTAACCATCTGACCAAAGACAAAGTGAAGGCACTCCCTGGTTTCCCTGTAGGTCCCCCCTAAGAGGGCGTTTCTCACATCAGGTGATGAGTGAATGGTCGCAGTTCTGATTCCAGACACGGGGCTGCAAAGTTCACACTCTTAAAACCCTTGGCAATCAATCGGAAGGAGACAGTCAAGAAAGCAGATCCTGAACCTGGCGTCAAACATGACCCGGCGTGACAGGGTGCAGTGTAGACTCCTGTAAATAGTGTAATAGTTTCTGAGACGATACAGTAAGAAGTCTTGGCCAGCCCATGGCCGGCGGTAGTAAGTGGTCCATCTCAGTATGGGGCTTTGAGAGGTGCCCGGTGAGTGTGGGCCAGCTGACCCAATGGTTTGTTTCACGTGCACAGCAATGAGCCCTTTGATCGGAGATCACTGTTCCTGCCACCACAATATATTGCTGTGATATTCCCGTGTGATTTTCTGCCTCCCAAGAGAAACAAAGGACTCAAGGAGTGGGGTTGAAAGAAGAGCCCCGACTCCGGCATTTCCTTTGCTGTTGGTCCCTATGAAAGGACGTCAGGTTGACCCCGTGCCGCTGCCTTCCTGGAAGCTCTTGCTGGGTAAGGGAGAAAAGGAGCGAAGGCAACACAGAGATTGCAACCCCTCTCTCTCTGTAAGGACGTCCTTCATCTTTTTGGGAATTTGCCGAAACCTCCCCGAGTTAGTATCGGTGCCACCCAAACATGTTTTGTCGTGCCAGTTGGGTTTGGCTGAGCACCGAGGTGCAAAGGGGGCAGGGGGTTCAGCCAGTGATGTGCTAGCCATGCAAGGGTGAGCATCTGAGCGCGGTCCCCAGAACTCACGCAGAAAGCTGCATCTGGATTCCAGTCTCTGCTCTTGGAATCCCAGCCCTGGATTCCAGCAGGGACACGTGGATCTCTGGAACACGATGGGCAGCCGGGCTAGCCTGCTAGGTGAACTTCAGGTTAGCGAGAGTCCCTGTTTCAGACAAGGATGGCTGATGCCTGAGGAGCAGAATCCATGTTGTTGACCTCTGGCCTCCACAGGAAGGTACACACTGATGCACATATATTCACTGTTATGCTAACCTGAACATGGACACATGCGTGCATGAGTGTGCATACAC